ATGTGCTCTGACAGAGATAAAGGCTACAAGGGACTAAGTCCAATGTAGAAAGTAGTGTGGAGACTGTTGAAAGACAGAGGTGAGGATGGTGAGATGACAGGCAGAGATAGTGAGATAAGGCTGATTTGACCTTACTGCTAAGATTATGCTCAAAGGCAAGGCAGGGTCTGAGGGGCTTGGCTTCAGCTTGTGTGCTGCACCCCTTACCTGAGTACGTGCCCCTAATGTCAAATATAGTCTGACAAGAGATCTATGAGTTCCAACAGGATGTTGGAGTGGAGGCTCTCTGAAGGAGGGTAAATAGACTACTGGATGAGTGAGGGAAAGTCAGGTGTGGATTTGAATTCCTGACAAGGGAAAAGCAGAGGACTACTACAGTCAGAACCAATAGTATAGTGGCTCAAAAAACTGTCCGCATGTTTTCACATTTTTCACTATCTATGATATTGTGTGAAAATATACAAACACATCAAGGATATACTGGTACTACATTGTAGTACTACTTCAGGGCTTCCAATTGAGCCTTATGGCGTGGGAATTGGTCGAGATATGGTGGAGATATGAGGCTTAAAAAATGATGACCCATGTGGACAGTGTTTTGACTCATCAGGTATTCTAGTACATTGTGTGACCTCCCTTGGCTTTAATCACTGCCTCTATCCTTCTAGGCATACTCTTAAAACTATATCTAACTATATAAACCAGAATGTCTCATATGTCATGGTCATAATTACCATAAAAGCCATCTCCTCTGCTTAAAGAGATAATATCCTCTCTTTGTCCTATGCTGGCCTCTCTGCTCATCAAATTTCCTCAAAAACTGAAGTATACAAGTCTACCATGGCCAAGTGTATCAAAGAAAGCCACCTGGACAAGAAAAACTCTTCTGGAGGACATCCACCTCTGCTAATAAGGGGGCTATCATTCAATATATCACTACAGGAAAGGCTAATAATGCTGTCCAAGCCACCCATTATATCAATTCCACCATCACCACCACTGTCTCTTCACAAACTGTGAGGAATGTTCTCAAGGCAGCTCATCTCAAGGCAGTAACAAAGAAGAAATGCCTCTTCTCTCTATCAAACATAGGCAGAGAAGACTACCTTTGGCTTGGCCCATCAAAACTGGACTGTAGAGGACTTGAAGCATGTTATATGGTCATATGAGACCAAAATCATTAGGATTGGGTCAGATGGGAAGGTATATGTATGGAAAAAGAAGAGGGATTTTCTAATAGACAGTGAGGTTAGTGAGACTGTCAAATTTGGAGGAGGTTCTCCAATGGTATGGGGCTGTATGGGATGGAATGGTGTGGGTATGCTTGTTGAAGTTGAGGGGAGGATGGATGCTGAGCAGTATGTGGACATTCTAAATGACCACTTGCTACCTAGCATAGCTGAATCAGGGATTGATGAAAAAGACATCATTTCCCAACAGGATAATGATCCCAAGCACACATCTAGGAGAACCAGACAATGGTTTAAAGAACATAGTATTAATGTTCTTGACTGACCAGCACAGTCCCCTGATGTCAATGTCATTGAACATCTCAGGGGAACACTCAAGAAGAAGAAGCTTCAAGCCTATGAAACCCCCTCTAAAGGAGTATAGGAGCTATGGGAGAGTGTAGCAGTGGAATGAGCAAGGATTATAGCAGATTATTGCCAGAAATTGATTGAGAGTATGCCTAGAAGGCTAGAGGCAGTAATTAAAGCCAAGGGAGGTCACATAATGTACTAGAATACCTGATTATCACTGTAAAATACTTGAGTCAAAAAACTGTCTGCATGAGTCATCATTTTGTAAGCCTCATATCTCCACCATATCTCGACCGATTCCCACACCATAAGGCTCAATTGAAAGCCCTGAAGTAGTACTACAATGTGGTGCTAGCATATCCTTGATGTGTTTGTATATTCTCACACAATATCATAGATAGTGAAAAATGTGAAAACATGTGGACAGTTTTTTGAGCCACTGTAGAAACAGAGTGGACAAGGCTGCTTGGATGAAGTTCAAAGCAGAAAGGAAACAGAGGCACAGAAAGATTAGAGCACAATGCTCAAATCCAAAGGGCAGAAAAGTCAGCCAAATGTGCGGGAAATCCAACAGGCAGAAAGTCCGACCTAGGGAGTCAATCCCTAGGCCCAACAAGAAGGATGTGACAAGGGATTGATCCCAAGTCTAAGAAGGAAGAGCAGGGCTTAGAAAGAGTAATATTCAGACTGAGTAACTACAGACAATGTACATATATTTATATACTCTAGGTAAGTAGCATAGCATAGTAGATGGCTATGTGCTAAGTGTACAGTATTACAAGAAGGATGACTGAGACATATGAGTTAGAGGCTTGGAGAACAATGTGTATGCAAGGGATAAATAATCATTTAGGTATAGAAAATACCAGTAATCCAAAAGGAGGAACTATAATACCAAAAGGATATAGAACCAGTTAAGTGGTTCCTTGTCTAGAAGTGGACTGGTGAGGCCGTCGGGCAGACTGACAGTTGAGCAGGCCAACATGAGGGGAATTAAAGATACAGAGGGGGTCTGTTAGGTACTGTGCTTGGACAGAGAAGTGGAGGGGTCAGGGCTTGGCTTCAGCTCTTGTGCTGTGCCCTTAGCTGAGTACAGTGCCCTGAATTTGGAGTGGGACTGATGTCATGCAATGGTAGGATAAGGGGTCCACTTTGAGGATCAGGAGGTAAAGGCTACTAGCAGCAGGCCAACTAGAAGCAGGGAAATGAGGGGGGGGAAGTGTGTTGGAGTGGAAGAGATAGAGGGGAAGGAGGTAAGTATGATAACTTAGAGCATGGCTCTAAGTCAGAGCGAAGGATCGGAGGTGATGACAAGATAAGACTTATGTTCAGAGTGAGCAAAGTCCTACGGAGAATTCTCACAGTAGAAACTGAGGAAAGACAAGTAATATTAAGACTGAGGGAAACTACAAGCTAAGTACAGGATATGTTTATATACTTCTAGGTAAAGAGGGAGTGATCAGTAGCCCATAGCATAAAGCTATGTGCTAAGTATACAATTTGTAAGTATTACTACATAGGAAAACATAAGTCAGAGCAGATATCAATATGTATATGATGGATCAGTAATTGAGCAGTTATAGGAATTACTAGTGATGTGAGAAGTAAGAGCTATGTTCTGAAGGGGAAAGTATTGTTAGAATAACTGAGAGTGAACAGGACTATAGTCCAGTGTCAGTTGCTATTGTGTTGTGTAAACTAATAAGTGTACTATACCTATAGTCCAGTGTCAGTTGCTAAAGAGCAACCAACACAGGACTTGCTACCTATGGGTGAGTCTATGTAAACAAGTGTAAACACTACCTAAGTAAGTAAGAAATTCACATCATATGCTAAGTGAGAGTCCAATAGAGTGGGCAACATCATAACACAAAAAACTCACACCATAAGGTGCCCAATCACCACAAATAACAAGTATATACCTAAATGGGGAAAGGGGATCCAGTTGAATGGAACCTATGCAGAAGGTAACTGACGAGGCAGTCAAGCAGATATGGGAACCAACTGGGTTGAGAGGAGACAGGCAGAGCGGAAGTGTGAGGAAAGTAGGAAGGGTATAGGATTGGGCGGAGCAAATATCAATATTGTCAGGGTGGTCAGATCTGGTATATGACAGGGTCAGAAGAGCAGAAATAGTGGGGGGAACAGGAGTAGGGTTGGGCAGACCAACAGGGAAGAAGAGTGGAGCATTTATGGGTGGGAATAGAGTTGGTTAGGTGGGTCAGAAATAGGGGCAGAGGTAGCAGGGCTAGTCCTGCTGAGATGCACTGCATGCATTGTTGGTGAAGGAGGTATGGAGTGGACGGGGAAATAGGCAGTCAGACCAGTAGTAGGGATGTCTATAGATGGTATTGGAGGTGCTTGGATCTGGTATAGGATACCTACACACATTGCTCCAGAGGACATACACTTGTTTGAGGAACATGACGAACAAACAGACCTAGGACATCAAGCAAACCTCATTATTGACAACATTCACCCTTCCATGCACTTAGTTCCAATGGACCTGCAATCTGATTCTGCCATTGTTGTACAACATAATGAGGACAATCACCACACATACACAGTATGCTGTGCAATACAAGGCAAGTCATTTATGCACTCCAACAGTCATGTTCCTGAGCCAGGACATTGTTATATATTAGATCTGACTGCTTCTGACATTATTGATATCTGCTCCACCCAACTCTATACCACTCCATTTCCGCCACAGAGGTGGTTATTGAATTCAAGTGGAACCCCCATTATAACCCATTCTTTACACCCACAAGTCCAAGTCCTACAGTGCCCTTTATATCTGAGACCAACAAGGTCATGGACACACTGGGACAAATAACAAGCTATGGTGCAGCTCAGTGTGGTGCACAATACCATACTCACACATTCTCTGTCCTGATTGTGCAGTGATCAAGCTCACATCCTATGGTGGGATACAGAGGGAACTACTGTTTCTTGCACCATCAACTACAAACAAGAGCCATATTTGGCTGAATTTTTCCATTGTTATGAACAAGCATCGCCTGCATTGCGTGGCATCGACACTTCAGTAATGCCCACTAGCGCCGAGGAGGCTGACCTTGCAAGGTCATGGTTAGGCCTTCCTGCTTCCCAGTGCATGTTGAAAGTTGAGGTCCTTACTGTCAATGGCTCTGGCTCGCTTCACTTGATTTTTCCTGCACCTTTGCCAGTCGGTCAAACCCCTGTTGGCCGATGTACATGCACGTGTCCTGCATACAATCTTGATCATGACAAGGTTATCATGTTCAAGGACTCTTGGCAGGTGACAATTGCGGATATTCTACCAGAAGGCAGGACCTATAAACTATTAAAAAACACAATGTTTCCAATGTTGCATTGTGCATTGCGTGTCATGACGTACCCTGTATCCCTTAACAAGCCCCGCAGACTCACGAGCTTGCAGGTACTGTCTGGGCATATTTGCACAGTCAGATCCCTCCGCACATTCATTGTTGCCTGGTTCTCGATCTTGTGGGCAAGCAGTTGTGTGAATTTACAAGCTCTCATGAGCTCATCACAGCTGTTCATGATGCATTGATTGGTACATATTTTGCCATCCCCCTCCAAAAAAAAGAAGTGTTATATTCATATTGTTATGCTACAGCCCACAAGGATGCATATTATAATGTGGGCATGTTCCATCAAGACATCAGTCCTGGAAATATTGTCATCTACAATGACAAGGGCATCCTCATTGATTGGGACCTATCAATGTTATGGTTGTCTGTGACACCTTTCATTTTCCTCTTCACCTTTCACATCTTCACCTCTTCACATTGATATCATGTCATAGTGTCACCATTTCCTAATATCACCCTATCTAGGGTTATTGTTAAGACCATTCTCAGGGGTAAAGTGGAGTCTGAGGGGCTTGGCTTCAGCTCGTACGCTGCGCCCCTTACCCAAGTATGTGCCTCTAATTTTGGAATGTAGTCTGACACAAATTCTATGGGTGTTGACAGGACGTCAGAACGGGGGTCCTCTGAAGGAGGGCCGACGGACTACTAGGTGACCACGGGAAAGTCGGGCAGGGGTTGTTCTGCCTGACAGGAGGGAGGCTGGGAGACTACTGTGGTCAGAACCAACAGTAGAAGTGGAGCAGAAGGAACTGCTTGGACAAAGTCTGAAGCAGAGCGGAACGGAGGGGATGGATGTGAGAGTGCAGGGTCTAGTTCTGATGCATGGGGAGTCAGGTGAGCGGAGGGACAGGGGAACAGGGGAACAGGGGAATGGGGGGAACGGGGGAACGGGGGAACGGGGGAACGGGGGAACGGGGAACGGGGGAACGGGGGAACGGGGAACGGGGGAACGGGGGGAACGGGGGAACGGGGGAACGGGGGAACGGGGGAACGGGGGAACGGGGGAACGGGGGAACGGGGAACGGGGGAACGGGGGAACGGGGGAACGGGGGAACGGGGGAACGGGGGAACGGGGGAACGGGGAACGGAGGAGTGGAGGATCAAAGGATTGGAGGATCAGAGGATGGCTGACCTAGGGAGTCAATCCCCTAGGCCGGCTTAACAGGAGTTGACTAGGATCAGGCCCAAGTCAACGAACAGAAGAGCAGGGCTTAGAAAATGGATAAATAAAGACTGAGTATCTACAGACAAATGTACATATGTTTATATACTCTAAGTGATGAGCATAGCATAGCAGAAGGCTATGTGCTGAGTGTACAGGATTACCAGAGGATGACTGAGACATACGAGAATAAGGCTCAGAGAACAGTATGTACGCAATGGATCAATAATCGCTAGGGTATAGGAATTACTGGTGATCCGAAAAGTGGAACTATGATACTAAATGGGGATAGGACCAGTTGAGTGGTTCCTAGTCTAGGAGTGGACCGGTGAGGTGGTCAGACAGACTAATAGTCGGGTGGGGGAATACGAGCGGAACTGAAGGATCCACGCGGGTTGGAAAAGCGGAGGGAGTAGGAATAGGATCAGGCGGACCGATAGGGCGGAGGAGCGGAACCCCAGATAGGGTGGGATGGAAGGGGTATGGGGTCGGAGGACATAGGGGTAGTGTCGGAAAAGTGGAACGGGGTCAGGCGGAGGTAGCAGGGCTAATCCTGCTGAGATGCACTTCGTGCATTGTTGGGGAAGGAGGGATGGAGTGGACGGGGAAACAGAGGGTCGGACCAGGGGGATGTTCACAGGTGGTATTGGAGGTGCTTGGATCCGGTATATGACAGTTATTCTATGACTTCACCTTATCACAGGTGCACACCCCTATTCATTGATCTGAGATAAATCTCGATCTATCCTCGGCAAGTCCTTGGATATTACTTACATGTTGATACCTAGTGTATTCTCACAGACCCTTATCATGTATACACCATGTGTATTCCCATGAACACTTATCTATACTTATATGGACATATTACTTACTTACCCTGGACCCTGGACCCTGACTCACTATCATATATAAGCAGGTCGTAGTCTTGATGATTCCTCATCTTGACCCTATGCTGGAATTACCCAGATACATCCTCTGACTACTAGTTAGACACTAGTGAATCCACCTTAATTCCTTTGACTTCTCTAGAGTGCTACCTCTAGTAGATTGATTGACTTGAAACCTCCTCTGATTACCATCAGTGTAACAATCAACATTAATCAACATCAAGGGTGCTCAACAAGTAAACTGCACAGTTTGTTCTATTCCATGCAAGCTTGTAGTCAGGTACTAAATCTGCTATTACTAAGGGAACCTGGCAATTCATGTCAGCCCACCTGGTTGAAAATAAACACACCAGCCATGGCATTGAGGATGACCTGGAGTCTAGTCTTTACATTGTTTTGTGGGTTGCCTTACTGTGCTCGAAGACTCACTTAACCATCCCTGCACGATCATTACTCATGAAGCAGGTCTTCAAAGTTGATGAATTGGAGGGGGTTGGATCAACCACAAAATTGACTTTTCTCAACTCGAGAACACAATTTGGGGTCAATGTATTTGTTGACCGCAAACTGCTCAACAGGCTTATCCTTGCACTTGCCGAGCTCTTTATGCTTTGGTATACTGTGGTAACTCAGGAGGAGCAGAATGCCTGTGATGTAACATGTGCATACATGGAGGAGCAGAAGGCTTGTGATCAAGGATGCGCAGACGTGGAAGAGCAAGCTTGTGATCAAGCATGCACAGACATGGAGGAGTCAGAACCACCAGGGACAGAACCAGAGACACAAGCAGATACCTCTTATATGAACTACATCATGAAGCTCTTGAACACAAATCCTGCTTACAAGTTGAAGATGAACATGGAGATCTTGAGGTTGCACAACAAGATCATAAAAGTTTATGATTCTCACCTTCAATTTGTAAAATAGTGTGTCTTCACAAAGTCACTATGTCCTTTGCAGGTTGAATTCACAACATCTAGCAAGAGATGTAGGGTTGAGGGTAATTAGCCATATGGACACTATTACTGTGCTTGGCTCAGTGGCTGTCGGGATTACCTTATCTTGTTTAGCCTCATGATACTTTTCAAATATGCACTTATGTTGCGTTGCATAATAATATTGATTTTGTGACTGACATACGCAATGTACTTCGTTACACCAACTGTTGTTTGGTACATGTCACATGATATCATCATGTCCATTTTTCATTCTAAGTCTGTGTCAGTCCAATGCTGGGCTATCAATCACCCCATCTCCAAGCATCATGGCAAGAAACACTACTTGCAAGTATCTTAGTGTAGATTTAAGCTTGGCACACATAGCCTCACATAGCCACTTCATATCTCAAGTACACGCTTGGACACCTGATTGGAGCTGATTGACTGGTTTCATAGCCAACTTATGAACTGGGATCAAACTCACACTTCGCTTTGTCAGCACATTTCGGTAACTTCCAGTTCACTATATAATCCTCTAGACCCTCTCTTCTGTTTCTGTTTCTTTCCACTCTGCGCACCTAGTACTGTACTGTAATACTATAGACCGCTAATATATGAAACATCTGTGTATTGTAGTATAAATTGCCCAAACACTCATTGTAATGCCACAACACAGACTCATCGGGTGTTATGATGTTTTTGGTGCATGTAAGTTGACTCACATCCATGTCATGGTTGAGACTCTTGCTGACTTCTCTAAGGGTGCTTTCAGCAGTGCTTAAGTAATGTGCAGTCTGTCAATATCAGATGATGCAGCAGCAATATTTTGTGCCTCACAATGTTCACAAGTAAGCCTCTTACTGTCCCTACAATGAATGAAGATAAAACCTATTGTCATCCCAAATTTTGTTTAGACTTTGGATGGCATTGGGAGTCATCCACTCATTTAGCCTATTGTCATCCCAGCTGTTGTTTATACTTAGCATTTCTATTGCTCCCAAGTGGCTAGCCTATTGGTTGTCATCCTCCTAGGTGAGGACTACAATGTTTAGTTGCAAGGCCCACCTGGACCTCATGTATTACTTAACTAATTAGCTTGGTTTTCCCAGGGGGGAGTGCCAACCTAATTAGCTCAGAATCTATCAATCACATAGACTTGGCTCCCACATGGAAAAGTGCGTCTTCATTGGCTACCCTGCTGGCTACAAGGGCTGGAAGTTCTACAACCCCACCTCCAAGAAGACAATCATCTGCGAAAGGGCTGACTTTGATGAAAGATACTTCCCTCTGTCCAAGCGCCCATCCAGTCCATCCATTCCAGCTCCCATCGCTCCAGCACCTCCTGTCGACGCTCCCCATGCTCCCCGACAGTCAAAGACTACCTCTGAGCCCCCAGCAGCGCCCTCCTATTACTATCCTCCTCATTCAGATGACTCTGACTCTGACTCTGACTCTGACTCTGACTATGATGAGTCCAGTTCTGATGAGTCACTGGATCAAGGGGGAGATGTGGTGCCTCCAGCAGTTCCTGATGTCCCTCCTGTCGTCCCTGTTCCTGATCCAGTCACTCCTCCTCCTGCAGCTCGTCCCAATCCACCTCCTAGACCACCATCTCCCATAGGCATTGGTGCCTAGGCAACCTCCCAGAGACTGGTGGAAGCTCTCTCCAGCTCAGCTGACTGATGTTGTTGATGATGAGACTGAGGATGCTGACTTTGCTCAAGGATTTGAGCTTGCCTTGTCTACCAGCTCTTCCACCGAGCCATTGTCTTATAGGGAGGCATTGACTCGAGTTGATGCAGAGCAGTGGAATCAAGCAGCTCTTGAGGAACTCAATGCTCATCGCAGCAATGGGACTTGGAAACTCGTACCTAGACCAGCTGGAATCAAGGTCATTGGCTCCAAGTGGATATTCAAGGTGAAGCGCAATGCTGATGGCTCTATTGAGCGCTACAAGGGCAGACTTGTTGCCAAGGGCTACAACCAGCGTCCTGGCTTTGACTATGTTGAAATATTTGTTAGAATAACCAAGTGAAGCAAGCCACAAGTGAGCTAATGAGAGTGAACAGGACTATAGTCCAGTGTCAGTTGCTATTGTGTTGTATAAACTAATGAGTGTACTATACCTATAGTCCAGTGTCAGTTGCTGAAGAGCAACCAACACAGGACTTGCTACCTATGGGCGAGTCTATGTAAACAAGTGTAAACACTGCCTAAGTAAGTAAGGAATTCACATCACATACTAAGTGAGAGTCCAATAGAGGAAGCAACATCATAACACAAATAACTCGCACCATAAGGTGCTCAATCACCACAACTAACACTCCCCCCTGATTGTGCACCTCTACACATCTCAGCTCCCCCTCGAGCTACTCAGTCCCATCATCTGGCAGAACAACTGCACCTTGGGTCGAGCCAATGCCTTGGTCAGGATGTCAGCTGGCTGGTCAGCAGTGGGCACAAACACTGGTGCAATAATCTCCTTGTGCACCACATCTCGAAGCCAATACCAGCTGAGATCAAGCTGCTTCATCCGACCATGGTGCTCTGGGTGCTTGGCCACAGAGATGGCGCTCTGGTTGTCGATCCTAAGGACAGAGGGTGCAGTGGCAGGGAAGCCCATCTCAAACAAGAGATTTCGCATCCAGCGGATCTCCTTGCCTGCCTCAACTGCAGCCATGTACTCAGCTTCAGTGGTGGACAAGGCCACAATGCTTTGAAGCTTCGACGACCAGGAGACAGCACCAAGGCCAATCTTGACCAGGTAGCCACCAGTGGAGCGACCAGTGTCTTTGCATCCACCATGATCAGCATCAGAGAATGTGGAGAAGAGTTCGATGGAATTGGGATCAGGAGCATAGGTGATGGAGTAGTCTGCAGTGCCCTTCAGATAGCGAAGCAGGTGCTTGACAGCTTGCCAATGGGCAGGGCCAGGGTTGGAGTTGAATCGAGCTAAACAGCCAACAGTGTAGGCAATGTCTGGTCTGGTGGTGGTGGCAAGATACATCAGAGCACCCACAGCTTCAAGGTAAGGAGTGGATCGCATGTCCTGAGTCTCATCAGCAGTCTGGGGACACTGAGCACGAGTGAGTCGAATGTTGGGCTGCATGGGAGTGGAGACAGGCTTGCAATCAGCCATGCTGAAGCGATCAAGGATGTCAAGGCAGTACTGGTGCTGGGAGATGGTGATGGAGTGCTTGGATCGATCCCTGTCAATCTTGATGCCTAGAAGCTGGGTGGTAGGGCCCAAGTCTCGAAGCTTGAAGTGCTGAGACAAGTCCTTGATGATCTGATCAATTGCAGAAGCGGACTTCGATGCAAAGGTCATGTCATCAACAAAGACAGGCAAGATGATCCTGACTTCACCCTTGACATAGATATAGATGCTGGCATCAGAGTAGGACTGGGTGAATCCAATAGACTCGAGAACAGAGCGCATTTTCTTGTTCCAGCGATTGCCACCTTGCTTGGTTCCATAGATGCTCTTCTGCAACAAGGCAGACCATCTTCTTTGGATCACCTTCAGCAAAGCCTTCAGGTTGTTCCATGTAGACGTCACAGTCCATCTCCCCATTGAGATAGGCATGTGAGATGTCGATGGAGCGAAGGTGGAGGTCATGGATGGCAGCCATAGCAAGGACAACAGCGAATGGTGGGCATACGCACAGTTGGAGCGAAATATTCGACATAGTCAAAGCCAGGACGCTGGTTGTAGCCCTTGGCAACAAGTCTGCCCTTGTAGCGCTCAATAGAGCCATCAGCATTGCGCTTCACCTTGAATATCCACTTGGAGCCAATGACCTTGATTCCAGCTGGTCTAGGTACGAGTTTCCAAGTCCCATTGCTGCGATGAGCATTGAGTTCCTCAAGAGCTGCTTGATTCCACTGCTCTGCATCAACTCGAGTCAATGCCTCCCTATAAGACAATGGCTCGGTGGAAGAGCTGGTAGACAAGGCAAGCTCAAATCCTTGAGCAAAGTCAGCATCCTCAGTCTCATCATCAACAACATCAGTCAGCTGAGCATGGAGAGAGCTTCCACCAGTCTCTGGGAGGTTGCCTATTGCATCGAGGGAGTCTGGCACCAATGCCTATGGGAGATGGTGGTCTAGGAGGTGGATTGGGACTGAGCTGCAGGAGGAAGGAGTGACTGGATCAGGAACAGGGACGACAGGAGGGACATCAGGAACTGCTGGAGGCACCACATCTCCCCCTTGATCCAGTGACTCATCAGAACTGGACTCATCATAGTCAGAGTCAGAGTCATCTGAATGAGGAGGATAGTAATAGGAGGGCGCTGCTGGGGGCTCAGAGGTAGTCTTCGACTGTCTGGGAGGATGGGGAGCATTGACAGGAGGTGCTGGAGCGATGGGAGCTGGAATGGATGGACTGGATGGGCGCTTGGACAGAGGGAAGTATCTTTCATCAAAGTCAGCCCTTTCACAGATGATTGTCTTCTTGGAGGTGGGGTTGTAGAACTTCCAGCCCTTATATCCAGCAGGGTAGCCAATGAAGACGCACTTTTCCATGTGGGAGCCAAGTCCATCTCTCTTGTCCCTTTGGATGTGCACATAGGCAGTGCATCCCCAAACTCGAAGAGTGAGAGACATCAGGCTTATTGCCATGCCACAGCTGATAGGGTGTAGCGCTGTCTACAGCTTCAGTAGGGCACCTGTTCCAGACATGGACCAGAGCATGCAAGGACACTCGCCCCAGAAGGCCTTGGGAAGCCCAGACTCATCCAGCATAGCAGTGAGTCGCTCAGAGAGGACTCTGTTAGCTCTCTCAGCAACCCCATTCTGCTGTGGTCTAGCACGAACAGTGTGCTGCCTCTCAATGCCGCACTGGGTGGTGAATTCAATGAAGGCATTGCTCATGTACTCCCCTCCCTTGTCATCTCTGAGGATCTTGAGCTTTCGCTCTGACTGGTTCTCAGCATAGGCCTTGAATGTCTTGAAAGCCTCAAAGACATCAGACTTAGCTTTAATAGGGAGCACAAAGCGAAATCGAGAGAAGTCGTCGATGAACTGTGACCCAATAGCGATAGCCAGAGAAGCTGGGGTAGGGGACCTTATGGACATCGGTGTGGACAAGCTCCAGAGGTCGAGTAGCACGCCATTGAGATGAGGGGAATGGGTTTGCATGCATCTTGCCAGCTAAGCATGGCTCACAGATAGGATCTGGCAGTTTCTTCGAATCCAGCTTGAGTCCAATGACCATATCCTGATCAATAAGCTTCTTGACACCTGCTACGTGATGATGGGCGAGTCTTCTGTGCCATAGGTCCAAGTCCAGAGGTAGAGTGGTCGCTGCAGAGGCATATTCTGATAGAGGCACAGTAGAGCCATCTAAGAAAGCTGCATTACTGCCATTGATAGAGGCAATGAACAGAGTGGTGCCTGCAGGACGTTCAAAGGACATTCTGGTCGCATTTATGTGCACATGAAAGCCACTATGGCGAGTAAGGTATAGCACAGAGAGCAGGTTATTACGAAGGTCTGGGACATGCAAAACTCGAGATAACTCGACCACTCTAGCCCTCTTCCCATCTATGACTGGATTGAACACCACAGTGCCCACCCCAGAAGAATACACAAAGGTGTTGTCGGCTAGCTTGATTGGGACGCGTTTTGGGGTATAATTGCGAAGCCAGTGACGATGGGGGGTCATATGAGAAGTGGCACCTGTGTCTGCATTCCAGTCAGCCTCTGCATCGACTTGGAGAGGACATAGGGGATGGGAAGGGTCAAAAGAGCGAAGACTTGCATTTCCAGCGAACTCTGTGACGTTCTGGGCATTCTGAGGGGTGCTCTGAGTGTTGGTGGACGCTGCAGGAGTGGTAGGAGATGATGTGGACGCAGCAGGAGTGGTAGTGGGTGGAGTGGTAGGCTCTGAGGCCTTATTAGCGTTTCTAGGACGCTTATTACCCTTCCCTTGACCATTGCCAGACTTTGCATTGTCTTTGGCACGCTTCAGAGCGTTACACTTGTGAGTGCAATGGCCAGCCTTCTCACAGAAGTAGCAGGTAATGTTAGTGCCACATCTACATTCTCCTGAGGATGTGAATAGGGCTGAGTCGCCAGTAGGACCTTCAGGATGACGCTTGCGCTGCAATTCCTCTGCTAGGAAGGCAGACTTGAGCTCCTCCTTGTCCAAGGACTTGAGTAGCATGAGGGAGGACGCAAAATGGTTGTATTCCTCACCCAGGGAGCGAACCATAGTCATACAGACTAGTTCAGCATCCAAGTCAGTGATGGAATAGGGCTTGCTAGTGTCCTTTGGGCGAAGCTCCTGGATCTTACTCATGCCTTCTTCTATCCTAGCAATGAGGGTGCTTAGGGGCTCATCAGGCTGCTTCCTAATAGAGAAGAAGTCGTCCCAGGCGTTGAAGCGAGCTCCAGGACGCTGCTGGACATGGATTGAAGCAAGGGTGGACCATATGGAGACAGGGTCATCCTGGACAGCATCAATGTGCATCCTCTGCTGAACTGAGCAAGCAAGGTACAGTTCTCCAGCAGCCTTGTCCGCTTTGACATCCCATTTGGCCTGAGCATCAGCTTGAGTGTCTGCAGGGCGCTTCTCTGTCCCACTGACAAGCAGCCACAAGCCCTTGGTGCGAAGATAAGCCTTCATTTCACCCTTCCAGGTAGGATAGTTGCTGGAAGTGAGTTTGGTGATATGGATGGGGGACTTGGAATCTTCAGAAGACATGGCAAGAGGCTGGGAGGCGAGCAGAGTGGTATAGGTGATGCAGGACGTCGGCGGAGGCGTAGGGAGGCGAGGGAATGTAGTAGGGAGTGTAGGGATAGGCAGCAGGGAGTGTAGGGATAGGTAGCAGTAGCACAAACAAGCGAAAAATGCGCACTATGGGTCCTGACACAGACTGTAGCTCAACAACAACTCTATGGATGCTCCAGTGGACCAAACTATGCTCAAATGCGACGCTGGGGGCTTTTGAGGGTGTAGAATGCGATGGAAACCGAAAGGAATGGGATGGAGTAGTGTTTGGCTGAATAATGAGTGATTGGAGGGTCCTTAAAGCGCAGGGCTCATAACCTGTTAGAATCACTGAAGGACCAAGGCACAAGTGAGCTAATGAGAGTTAATAGGACTAGAGTCCAGTGTCAGTTGCTTATATATTGTGTAAACTATGAAGTGACTTTACCTAGAGTCCAGTGTCAGTTGCTGAGGAACAACTGACCACTAGACTCACTACCTACAGTCGAAGATATGTAAACATATGTAAACACAGCTTAATAAGGTAAGTAAGTCAAGTCTGGCAATACAGGCAAGTCTGGAGCAATAGGTTATGATATAAGGCAAATAACTCGCACCATAAGGTGCTCAATCACCACAACTAACATACTTTTCACAAACTGAAGAAGTCAGATAGGGTCTCAAAACTAAGGACATCAACTGCACTGACATGACTACTGAAGTGCTTGTGATTCATCATTTCACGATCTGCTTCAGGAATAAACAAGAACAACTCGGCTTTCACACCATCTTCAATTGAAAGTAGAGACAGCCAGCGCTCCTTACTGTTGATGTCAATGTTGGGACATGCGCACAAGGGAAAAATCTGAGAGTTGATCCATAAGCAATGTGTGATTGAGTACTTGCATCCCAACAGCCTTATAGCCTCTTTCTTGACAGCTAGCTCGAGTTCATTACAAGTGAGTCTCTTCTGACCTTTGGCTGCTGAAGTTTCCAGAAGCACATTCTGCTTCAAGAACTCCCACTGTTGGCCTTGCATATTCAACAGCAGCTTCTGTGCAGTTTCTAGCGCCTGGATAGCCAACTTAGAGACTGTAACACACCCAGAAAAGATTGAGACAGCACTTACCTTATGAAGGTCTGCAATTAAAGCATTGTCCCATAAAGACACAACAGCAGCACAAAACTTCATGAGTGCCTTGTCTGAATCTGATGACAAGTTGTCAGAGTCAGAATCAAAGCCTGCAGTGGAGCTGCTCTCCATGACTTCAATATCCTCTGGTACATGGTGCTGAGACATGCTAATAGGGTAACAAGAGCAAGGGAAGGTTTGAGCTGTGTGTGCAGAATTCAGTTTAGACTGTCCCTTATATCAGTTCTGAATATGTGTCACACACCATTTGATTATGTAGTGCATTGTGGTGAATTTGGTAGTTTGAACATGTGCTATCCTGTATGTGCAACAATGAGGCACTGATGAATAATGAAGTCATTGTTACTTTGAGGTAATAAATTAATAGCTCACCTTTAAGCAGGGTCAAGGGTATCACATTAAGACATGTACATTATTAATAAATTGTTGATGCAAGAATGATACTAGATTAAGGGCAAGCTGGTGTGTCATATCCCATACCTCCGGATCTGGAATTCCAGAACCCCACCACTAAAGTCCAGTCCTCCATCCTGTTATTGTTAGTTGTGGTGATTGAGCACCTTATGGTGCGAGTTATTTGTGTTATGATGTTGCTTCCTCTATTGGACTCTCACTTAGCATGTGATGTGAATTCCTTACTTACTTAGGCAGTGTTTACACTTGTTTACATAGACTCACCCATAGGTAGCAAGTCCTCTGTTGGTTGCTCTTTAGCAACTGACACTGGACTATAGGTATAGTACACTCATTAGTTTACACAACACAACAGCAACTGACACTGGACTATAGTCCTGTTCACTCTCATTAGCTCACTTGTGGCTTGCTTCACTTGGTTATTATAACAGTTATTTCGCCCAGTGCTCTGCTCCCATCTCCGGACTCACCCCTATCTCCTTTTAGAATAGCTATTGATCCGGTTATCGGTTATGTCCTTTCCGCTATGCTTACTGATCCGTCCATTCTTACTTCATTTCCAACTTCACTGCTTTGATCTGTTACTGTTAGGTACCATGCCGGCTTAGGAAGCAGAGGGGTTGGGGCTTGGCTTCAGCTCTTGCACTGCACCCTTAGCCGAGTACATGCCCCGAATTTGGAGCAGGTCCGATGTTGTCCAACGGTAGGACAAGTGGTCCGCTTAGGTCCGCTTTGAGGGTCGGGGGGTAAGAGCTACTAGCGGCGGACCGACTAGGAGTGGAGCAGAGAAGGCAGGGGATAGTGTAAAGGGTGGAGAGGAGCAGGGGGAATGCTTGATAGGAGTGGAGAAGCAAAGAGAAGACTTAGAGCGCGGCTCTAAGTCGGAGTGGAGGGTCGGAGGTGACAACAAGGTGAAACTTGTGTCCAGAGGAGGCAAGGTCCTACTGAGAATTCTCACAAGTAGTAACTGCAAGAAGACAAGTAATATTAAGACTGAGGAAAATATCTAAGTACAGGATATGTTATATACTTCTATGTATGAGGCAGTGATCAGGATAACTATGTTGTAAAGCTATGTACCAAGGATATAGTTTGTAAGTACTGTACACAGGTGAAGACATAAGTCAGAGTGGATATCAATATGTTTGCGTCAGATCAGTGATCAAGCGGTAATAGGAATTACTGGTGATCCAGGAGTAAGGGTCTATGTACCGAAGGGGAAAGTATATATCTAAAAGGGGAAAGAGGTTCCAGTTGAATGGAGAAATTATGGACGGGGATCGGATGGGCGGTCGAGTGGAAGCGTAGAAGCGGAATGTGGACTGTGATTGGACTGAGTGGAGGATGGATGGAGCGGAGGTGGTTGGAAAGCGGAGCAGATATTAATATTGGAGCAGTCAGATCAGGTATATGACAGTTACACTTACTAATAAACTTTCCACATGCTTCATACATAGCCCTTACCTTTGCTGACTGATTTACCTACATGTTACCTACAGTATATAAGCTCCTGTAATACTCTGGAACTCCTTAGTTCAAATATCATCTTAGTTCTGCTCATTCCTGCAATCTTTGGACTTGAGTCTCATCTCTTGTCCACCTCTGAGTCTTAGGGGTTAAACCTTAGGACTAATCCTCCGGCTCTACCTTAGGGTAGTCTAACCTCTGTTCTGTTTCTACTCCAGACTTCCATAGTAGCCTTACTCCGTCCCCACATAGTCTTCTGGAGTTCCACCGAACTCCACCGATGTTTGTCCTCCAGAACTCCCTGAACTTCCATCGGACTTCCCCTCTGCCCACCGGAAATTAAGGGCATGTACTCGGGTAAGGGGCGCAGCGCATGAGCTGAAGCCGAAGCCCTTTGAGTAACCTCCCCCTTGAGCACAACCTTAACAGTTTGCTGACCTAGGGGATTGACTCCCTAGGTCGGCCGCTCCCCCACTCCCCCACTCCCCCACTCCCTCACTCCCCCCACTCCCCCACTCCCCCACTCCCCCACTCCCCCACTCCCCCACTCCCCTGCTCCCCTGCTCCCCTGCTCCCCTGCTCCCCTGCTCCCCTGCTCCCCCACTCCCCTGCTCCCCACTCCCCCACTCCCCACTCCCCCACTCCCCCACTCCCCTGCTCCCCTGCTCCCCTGCTCCCCTGCTCCCCCTGCTCCCCCACTCCCCCTGCTCCCCCACTCCCCTGCTCCCCTGCTCCCCCACTCCCCTGCTCCCCTGCTCCCCTGCTCCCCTGCTCCCCTGCTCCCACTGCTCCCCCCCCTGCTCCCTGCTCCCCCACTCCCCTGCTCCCCCACTCCCTGCTCCCTGCTCCCCCACTCCCCTGCTCCCCTGCTCCCCTGCTCCCCTGCTCCCCTGCTCCCCTGCTCCCTGCTCCCCTGCTCCCCTGCTCCCCTGCTCCCCTGCTCCCCTGCTCCCCTGCTCCTCTGCTCCTCTGCTCCTCTGTTCCCCTGCTCCTCCACTCCTCTGTTCCACTGTTCCTCCATTCCCCTGTTCCTCCATTCCTCCATTCCTCTGCTCATCCGACTCCCTGCGCATTCGGCCGCCTTTCCTGCGCGTCAGAACTGATCCCAGCACCCTGCTACATCCATCCCCTTCGTTCTGCTCTGCTTTGGACTTTGTCCGAGCAGCCCTTTCCACTCTGCTTCTACTGTTGGTTCTGACTGTGGTGGCCTTCAACCTCTCTCCTGTTGGGTGGAACAACCCCCACCCGACTTTCCTGCGCTCACCTAGTAGTCTGTTGGTCCTCCTTCAGAGGACCCCCGTTCCGACGTCCTGTCAGAACTCATAGAACTCGTGTTAGACTACATTCCGAAATTAGGGGCACATACTCGGGTAAGGGGTGCAGCGCATGAGCTGAAGCCAAGCCCCTCAGACTCTGCCTTACCCCTGAGCACAGTCTTAACACAGCCCTGTTGAAGGAGTAGTCTGCCAGTCTCCACCAGACAATGGAAGTTCATGGGAAGAGTACATAATAACAGGGCTGTCAAAGGAGTCCTGCTTGGTATGCTTGGTATGCCAGGTGCACTGGAGAAGCTCACAAGTGCTCCAGTCGTGGTAAGTTTGGAAGCTTACCTGCCTTGTATGCCTGGTGCATTAGAGAAGCTCATGAGTGCTCTGTTTATAGTGATGAGCTTGGAAGCTCACCTGCTTCATATACCAGGTGCATTAAAGAAGCTCATGAGTGCTTCATTGATAGTTATGAACTTAGAAGCTTACCTGCTTCATATGCCAGTGTGCTGGAGAGGCTCACGAGCACTCTGT